AAAAAAAAAAAAAAAAAAAAAAAAAAAAAAAAAAAAAAAAAAAAAAAGTATAAAAGAAAAAAGAAAAAAAGCATTTTGCAGGGGAATGGGTTTATTTAGCTCACACATCCACACCAATGTTCAGCACTGAAGGAAGTCAGAATAGGAACTCAAATAGGGCAGTATCCTGGATGCTAGCGCTAAAATGGTGGCCATGGCGAGGTCCTTGCTTCCCATGGATTGCTGAGCATGTGATATTGTAGAACTTAGGCCACCATCCTGGGCATGGGACCACCCACTACAAACTGCCCTCTCCCAGTGATCATTAATTGCCAAAATGCCTTACAGTTGGATCTCGTGGAAGCAGTTCTTCAACTCAGATGCAGTCCTCTCTGAAGATTTTATCTTGTGTCAACTTGATCATATGAAGCCAGCCAGTAAAAGCAGTCTACAAGAAATTTTAGGAGAAATATAAAAAACCAAGACAATTAAATAATGTATTCCATGAACAAAAATTCTGCAAAGGTTAGACAAATATTCACAGAGGGAATGGTAGCTAAGAGAGTTAGCTAAACACTTAGCAGGTTTTCTTCTTAGTAGTGATTAATACATAGATAATATAAAATCCTGAGTAGTGTAAATTCAAGATGTCCAACCCATGCAATATAAAAATGGGATAACTGAAAAATTATAGAGATTTCATTATACAAAATGACAAACACACCATATATCTATATTTAACTATATACACACACATATATGTATGTATTTTAATTTTTTAAAAAAATTATTTTTATTTTTGTATACCCATGTTTGTCTTCCCTGCATGTATTTGCATACCACGAGTGTCCGGTGCCAAGAGAAAATAGAAGAGAAAATTGGGTTCTCCAGACTGAGTTAAGGACAACTGTGTATTATAATGCAGGAGCTGGGAAGCAAGCTGTGTCTTTTGCAAGAATAACTAACGCTCCTAATGCTTAAGACATTTCTAGAATGACTAAAAAGTGAGTTCTAAAGGACTCATGATCCTTAGTCATGAAATTATAAAGTTAAAACCAAAGTGCAGTGATTGCTGGCATGGTCCGAATGGCTAATATTAAGTTACAACACATTTAGGCATGGTGGGAATGCCTTTAATCCCACCACTCCAGAGGCAGAAGCACATGAATTTCATTGATTCCAGGGTGGTGTACTCTATGTAGTCGGTTCCAGGTCAGCTAAATAATCATAGTGAGGCCATCTCAAAAATACATATGTAGGTAAGGGGATGGAATATTGGGATCTTTTTTCACTCCTGATGGGCAAGTCACTGGAGTCCATTCTTTGTCAAGGTTTCATGTCATAATCTTACCCTCCACAGTTAAACTGAGTTCTCATTCAGCTCCTAAAGTCCTCTCACACACAGACTTGCATACTCAGGGTTGACTGATACATTATTTATCAACATCCGGGAATGGAAACAGCCCAGATTCAAATGAACAGATTCAGGGTTAAAAAATGACAAACAGGAATCTAGGATTAAAATCGATAATAGTGAAAACGGCAGTGAGTGAATGACTAAGGATAAAGTAACATCCTCCATGTTTTCTTAGTTGGACAAATTCCATATTTCTTTTTTGTCAGTGTGCTTGTGGTTATAGTCTACAACTCAACGCTGAGGGACCTGAGGTAGGAACAAGGTCTCAATAGGATTAGGAATGAATGAAATAATGATTGTTGGAAAACTGGCAGAGGCAGCATTAAGAATGGAAGGTGGTTCCCATTCGTCCTTCAGAATGAATTTACAGGAGAGAGGGCAGGGACAGAAGCATGTGGCCTTGAGGCAGAAGAGCACCACTGTGTTCTTCAGTAATGTACAGATTATCAATGGCGTCTCTAGCTCACAGCTTAGGAAAGGGACAGCTTCACTATTGATAATGTTCAGGGGAACACTGTTAGTGATCTGGAAAAATATAGAACACTGTCTTTTATGTGAACATGCAATCACAATCTCTGATCAGTCAGATCCTGAGGAAATGGTTGAGGGTCTCTCAAATGTGCCATCTTTGCACATATGTGCCAGTTCTTCTAGTTGTTAGAAAAGAGCTATCTAAATTTGACCAAATTTCATTTCATTCTAGCTACAAGATCCGGGCAAGCATTTAGCATTTGTTTCATGCTCTCTTGGCAAACTTTGAAATATCACATTTTTTCTTAATGCAGTCAACTTGTTGTCAGTCAGGTTGGAACATTTCCCATCATTATCCAAGTAGATCAAGAACTTGTACTCTGAGGTAAGGCATACTCTTCTGAGATCCAAGTGTTTAAGTAGGAGGGTCAAGCATAAGTATGACATTTGCGAACCTCTAACCCTGAACTGAGCTGCTGCTTCCTTTTCAGACTGGAACAGAATCGACAAGAGCTGAACCTGCCTCTAGGCACTCAGCACACTGGAGGGGAGTGTGAAGTTACACAAAAGGAAATTATACAGGAATGATCTGTTCCTTGACAAGAATACAGATGTGGAGGAGAAAATAGCAACGATGTGGTGGTGTTTGTGGCCTACCTGGCCCTTTGGGTACAGTGCTTGTAGCTGAGTTATTTTAATGCTTGCAGCTCAGCAGGTAGGGAGCTTTTGACTCAGTGAGTAGAGTGTCTGTGTCTCCTTAGACAGAGTGGTTTCAACTCTGTAGGGATAAGTCCCACCCCTTAGGGGGCGTGTTCGCCTCAGGCTAAAAGTTTCCTATAAATTTGGCGATTGTGCTCCCAGCGCTCGCGCTCGCTTCTGCTTTCCTGGTCTCAGCGGGAACGGTGGTTCTGTAAGTCTATTCCTCCATTAAAGCTGTCTATATTTTGACAATCTGTCTGCATTCGCTTACGCCGTTACACAGCTCAGTGCTTAGAGTGCTTATAGCCATTGGATATATTGCCTGTAGCTCACTGAGATGTCAATCCTTGCTTTCCCCCCTCTTTTTAATCTTCAGGGTCTCTGACTTGGACTTCCTATTTCTGTGAGGAAAACTGAGACAAAGAACAGGGTGGGAGGGAAGGGTGTATTTGCCTTGCATGTCCTGGCACTGCTCATCAACTCACTGCTTGAAGCTGAGTTACTGCAGTGCTTGTAGCTCAGCACTGGGAAACAACCTTAAAAAATCCCCATTCCAGCTAGGAAAAAAGTACTACAGCAAATAACCAAGGTTCAAAGTAGACTTCAGATACTATAAAGACACAAAAGCACAGAATCCACTCTGTCACAGCCATGTTAGAGTACAGCCATCCTTCCTTCCTTCTTCAGCCCTTTCATCCATTTTGCTGTGTTCAGAGACTGAGGTTTCTCCCCGTTCCATGCTCTAAATATTATACTCTGTGTGTGTGTGCACGCGCGCGTGTGCGAGCACACGCACATTGGTCTATTGTACACAGCCATCCATAAACCACCATGGAATGTCAATTCTGCGTTTTTTCCCTCTTTTTCAACTTCAGGGTCTTAGTTAGGCTTACTGTTCCTGTGAGGAAATCTGTGACTAAGAAGAACCTGGAAGGTTTGCATGCCCTATCAGTGTTCATCAATGAAGCACACCATGACAGGGACTCAATTCAAACAGGAATGTGACCTAGAGACAGGGGCTGATCCAGAGGGTATAGAGTGGTGGAGTCCTCAGACACAGGGGCTGATCCAGAGGGTATAGAGTAGTGGGGTCCTCAACATGTGAGTTGCTAACTTTTGGGGTGCTGGTGAATGACCTCTTCAGAGGGCGAACATACCAGATGTCATACGTATCAGATATTTACAATATAATTAACACAGTAGCAAAATTAAAGTTTGAAGTAACACGATAATAACTTTTGGGTTAGGGATAACCCTAATATCAGGAACTATATAATAGGGTTGCAGAATTAGGAAGATTGAGAACCACAGCCATAGAGGAATGAGGATGACTGGCTTGCTGAGGCTGTGTTCTTGTAAAACCCAGGACCATCATCCCAGGGATGGTGCCTCCCACAATGAAGTAGGCCCCCACATCAATCACTAATTAAGAAAATGCCCTTCAGGTTTGCCTAGAGAACAATCTTACGGAGGCATTTCTTTAACTGAAGTTCTGTCTTCTCAGATGACTTTAGATCATGTCAAACTGATGAAAAAATATCTGTCCTAATAATTATTGCCTTGTTCCCTGTTGCAAAGGCTGAAGTTGACTGTGGCTGAAGGAACTTGTGCATGGAGTAAGACTGCTTGTTGCAGAATATTATTTTAATTATGTAAAAACGTATTACATTTGTTTATACTGCCTATGTTGATTTTGTAAAAATGTGTTTGATTATGCTGCATTTGTTGAACTTTGTAAATATGTGTTGCTGTTTCATTTTACCTACCTAAGTCACCTAACTGTCCTAATAAAACCTGAACAGTCAATAGCAAGGCAATAGATAGGTAAGGGCATGCAGAGAGAAAGTGTCAAAGGAGGGGTAAGAGGACAAGGAGAAAGAGAGGGAGACACATGGGCCAAAAGCCAGGTAGTCACCAGAGAGACCGACATGAAGACATCAGAAAAGAAAGGGAAGAAGTCTCAAGGCAAAACTGGATGAAGAGAAACAGGATAATTTACATTATAGGAGAAAGTTAGATAACATAAGCAGGAGAGCTTTCTTAACTAATAATACGTCTCTGTGTCGTCACGTTTGGGAACTGGTAGGTGGCTCAAAGGAACCCCGTTACAGTACGTGCAGTGGTGGCACACGCCTTTAATCCCAGCACACTGGAGGCAATCAGGGCAGGCGGATCTCTGAGTTCAAGGTCAGCCTGGTCTACAAGAGTTGGTTCCAGGAAAAGCTAGGGCTGTTAACAGAGAAAACCTGTCTTCAAAAACCATTAAAAAAATAAAAGAATCCCTGTTACTGCTGCCACAGCTTTCAAGGACGGATTTAACCAGTCTAAAGCAGGAAAGGTGGAGGGATGTTAGGAACACGGAGAGCCTTCTGCTCGGCCAGATCTTCAAGTCACCCTGCCAGGGACTGGAAACATCTCTTCTGTTGTACAGTGTTGAGATGAGACTGGGGCCCAGAAAAAGCCTTGTACTATATCTAAATCTACCTGCTTTTTTGAAGGAAGCTATTTCTTTCCTGAGTGTTTTCTCTTAAATTTCAAAATCTTTGGCTAGGTTTTAGCCTCACAGTCATTTTCATGTGGGTAACTAGAGGACAGGAGACACTCCTGTCTGTTCAAAACGTTCCAAGAACACCAAGACCATGTAATAATAGGAAAACTGGGTAGAATTTTGTGGTAGAGGGCTTCTCTAGTGTGTGTGACCCCTGGGTTCTGTCTGTAGCCCTGCAAGAAGGAAAACATTAGTATAGTGACAAGTCTGTCATTTTCAACTCCATACATAACATACGTGGAAGCTTGTATGCAATACTTTGGTTTTAGATTTAAAAATTGTCATTTGTGGCTTTTATTTTTACCGAGACAGGGTCTCACTATGTAGCTTTGACTGTCCTGGACCTCCCTACGTAGAAGAGACTGCCATAAAATTCACTGAGATACATCTGCCTGTGCTTCTCCAATGAATGTGCCACCATATCAAGCTAACAATTTTTTAAAAAAAAAAAAAATTGCATTGAAACTGTTTAAATGTGTGTGGCTATGAGTGCATGTGAGTCAAAGTGCCCAGGGAGCAGATTCCCTATTGACTGAGGTGCAGCCAGTTGACAGTGGTGAGGAAGTTGAAAGCTGAACCTGGGTGTTCTGCAAGAACAGTGCTCACGCAATCAGAGACATCTCTCCAGTCATGTCTACTGTTCTTAGGTGTGTAACCAGCGAAGTGTATGGGTTTGTGTATAATGCACAAACATCGACACAGAAGAATTGTATCCCAATATTATGGACTTGGGATGTGACTCAGTCGTTAAGACTGCTTACCTGTCACTCTTCATGAAGTCCAGAGCTTGTTCCAGGGCGCCTCATATGTCAAGTAGGGTATTGCAAACCTGTAGTTGCATCAGTTGAGGGGTGAAGATAGGAAAATCAGAATTTCAAGGTCATTCTTGCCTACGTAGATAGAATGCACTTAACAGGAACCACCACTGAATGCCTGTCTATCAGCAATCCCAAAGGCAACTAGGCCAAGACACAGACTATGAGGGCCAGGCTGAACTGAGCCATGTCCTGTTCCTTACAACCTGACGAAGATAGCTGCTGACTGCAAAGCTCAATGGTTTCCAGGCTTATATTTTCCTCCTGCTGTCTTTGTCTTTTAGCCCAATACCTATCTGGTTTATCATCTTCATGTCCCTCTCTCTTTGCCTACTCTAATACCTTGCTTGCTTTTGCACGCACTTAGGGGCCTAGGGCCCTGAAGGAATTTCCTGATATCACAAAGGATTTAATGAAGAGTGAAGACCATGTGAGAGTCCTAAGTCTTGAGGAGGAGGCTGTAGGTGGGGGCAGAATGCCTAGGCTTGGAGGTTGTTGGGGGCCAGGGGAAATAAAGGCTTCCCAGAGAGTTTACGCTGTGTTATTGCAAAGGATAAAGGGAGAGTAGAGGACAGCACCATGACACATTCCACAAACAAGCAGCCGGGAGCTCGAAGTTAGGAGGCTGCGAAAGAATGCCTGCCTCAACGTTCCTAATGTCGCCCTGCCTTCCTTCTGTCAGGCCTCCTTTTTCTTTATAGGCCTGTCTCTGGGGAGCTCTACAGTGGTGAGACCGTATGGTAACAGAAGGGCTGCACTGTCTGCCTCCTTCCAGCAATGAGCAGGAGTCCAGAGGATTACTCTTCTAGCTGACTTCTATCTTCCTCTGGCCTGTACTGGACTCAGATGTCCAGGCTCCAGCGAGGCAGCCTCTATGGAGGGTCTTGGGAATGAAGGGTCAGTATGGCAAGGGGGCACAATCTGTTACACATACCTGTGACTGATCTGAGCACACGGGGCTCCTGGGCTGAGAGATATGTTCATCTACCTATCACAAGGGTCAGACGAAGGCTTCAGTGCTGATGGCTGTATCATGCAATTTGATGAGGTTCTCTCTCCCTCCTTTCTCCTATTGCTTCTCTCCATGTCCTAATTCCTTGTTATTTTACTGCCTTTTTATTTTGACATAACTAAGTTCCTTCAAAATCCCTCTGAAAAAATAATCTTTCATGTTGAGCAGTGGTGGCACACACCTTTATTCCAGCATTCAGGAAGCAGGCGAATCTCTGTGAATTCGAGACCAGCCTGGTCTACAAGAGCTAGTTCCAGGACAGGCCCTAAAGCTACAGAGAAACCCTGTCTCGAAAAACAAAAAAAATCAAATCAAATCACTCTTTGCTCTGCACAGTTCCCTGTGTCTTCCCATGGACTACTCTCCTGGACAGGATAGAAGGATGGCTCCCTGGGTCTAGGGTTTAAACACGACCCTGTGCTGGGACTGGGTATAAGGTATGAAGGGACGCTGGTCACTTGAGCTTGTGGCTCTGGAACACCATGTCCTACTCCCCATTTGCCTCTGACCCGCTGAAGACCCTTAGGCTGCACTGCTAAATCAAGCTACCAGGGTCTATTCTCTCACTTGTCCACCTCCTCATCCTGAGGTGGACCACCAAATTCCAGCCACCAAAGTATTAAATTCCCACCATCAAAGGCACCTTGGAAACTTTCTTTCACTTGACTAATATGCCCAATTAAAATATGCCACCACAACCTAGCCCATTCTAATAGGAACCTCCCTCTTTTCTCTCCTGTAAGGGCATTCCTTTCCTGTTCTTCACCCTGAGTCAGAAAGCCGCCTCTTTCACTTTGGTTCCCTGCTTAGGAAAGGATCTCTCTGTGTAAACAAGGGTTTGGGTCCAGGAAGAAGCCCCTGCTGTGCAGGAGTTGGGGTCTACTTCCTGGAGACGGGAGACTTTTGGTTCATGGAGGGGATGCAGTACCCCTGTTACGGTAAAAATAAAACGGCACCGTTCCCTCAGTGGTTGCCGTAAACAGTGGGCCAGGAGGAGCTGCAAGTGCCTGTCAGGGAGCTGCAAATACTGTGGTAAAAATAAAACAGCTCTGCTGTTCTCCGAGGGGCCCGCGGGTACGAGGAGCAGAAGTCTCAGGCAGGGAGCCTCCTGACGGTGAGAGACAGATGGTTAGAGTGAGTTTGGATATTTATTTAGTAGGTTATGAAAGTGAAGGGGAAAGGGGCAAAGGGGAGAAGGGGGAAGAGGTACAGAGAGAGAAGTGGGGAGAAGAGGGCGGGGGAGGAGAGGAGACACGCAGCAGCAAGCACCGGAACTCAGGTTGGAAGAGGGAGGAAGAGCTGCTTGGGAGGGAGTGGGTGGGGCTTGTCTCTTAAAGGGACAGAACAGTCCATTACACCCCTGCTAGCGCCACAGAGAAGAGACACACCCAGGCTGTGGCCCAGATCTAAAAACGCCATTTTTCTTTTTCTTCTTACTTTTCTTTGAGACATGATATATTTGAGGATGATCTTAAATTTTCCTCATGCTTTTACCTCTTAAGTGCCAGTTCCCCGGGCAAGTACCACCAAATGGAGGCAACTTAGGGACTTTCCTTTGTCTTCACTGTTACATTCCCTTCCCCAGCAAACGCTGTCGTCGGCAAGAAGGGTAAACTCTATTAAACTCGCCAGCACCACCCCACATCCCTGGGCTGACAAAAGCCAAAGTCTGGATTCTCCCTTACCTTTGCACCAGACCGAGCCTGCTGTAGGGCGAGAGTGACTCTTCCTTCTCAGGCGGACAAAGACGGCTGACTTCCTGACTTCCTGACTTCCCGGCTCAGCCGACCACGTTCCGGACTACCCTCCCCCTCCAGTCCATTTGACCACGGCTCTCTTACGTCATAGGGGTGGGCAGATGTGATTGGTTAGCTGGATGTCACTCCTCTCATGCTAAGGAATCCCAGGGCGGGGCTGAAGTTGTGAGCCCTGGTGCTCTGAAAAATCACCCCCAACAGGATTCCTTTCTGAGTAGCCTCGAGGCCCTGCCGTGGTTGCCTGCCCCTGGCTGCTCCAGGCTGTTTCTTTCCAAGATCCTATCTGTTGTCCCAAAGGCTCCAGTGACTTGTGGGTGGGGAGACACGCTCAGAATGTCTTCAGCTGCTCATATCGGCCAGAAGTCGCCTTGTGGTGACTAGATCAGGAGACCCCAAGACATAGCTTGTCTTGTCAAGGTGGCTCTTGCCCCTTTTTGGAGCCGCATACACTGCTCAAAGCCATGTTTACCTCCCCATTCGCAAGGCAGCTGCTGGATCAAAAGATTCTTCTCACTGACCCTCTGTTCCAGGCGTGATACAGCGCAGCCAGGTATGGATGGCACCGCCACCTCTCCTGGATGACTTTCCCAAGGGGTGTAAGACTTTAAGACGATCCTGAAGCCATTTTTGACAATTCTGAATCCTCTCAGCCTCTGTGCCATAGTGCTTCCCCTCCTCCCCTGGGAACCAAGGACCTAACAGCTACACTCGCACGTTCCTGAACAATTACCCATATACGCATGCTTTGGTTCTGTCCCCTGGGAAACGAGGTCAAAATGACCTCTTACCTCATCTGATCTGGCAACAGCTCTCCAGTCAATTATTGGTAATAGCCAATCAGAATACTCAAAGAACAACCCCCCTTGCTTCTGTAGCCCCTTTAAAAGTAGACTGTACCCGCTATCCGAGGTCCCTTGGCTTCCCGAATGCTGGGGGACCCTGTCATGACAGAATTAATAAAATCCTCATGCTTTTGCATCAGCTGTGGTGTGTGGTCTCTGGGGGCGACTCCTTCTCGGTGTTTGGACGCCAGAGTCCAACAGGGGCTTGGTTTAGGGAAAGGGTCCAGGCATTGCCAGTGATGATGGAAGTCAGTGTGCTTTCCCTGTGGAACTTTCCTCTGCAGCCAGTGGAGGAGGAGAAATGGGGAAGAGGCAGGGACAGCAAGATCCATAGTTTTCTCCTCTCTCAAGAGGTCAGATTATTCTGGAAGCTTCTGGTTGACACAGCAGTGACTAGATGCTGGGTGGTGGGTATGGGTATAGCAGGGCTTCCTCCCCTTGCTGCTCCCTCCCATGCATGCTGTGCAGTGACTAGGCTTGGGACAGGTTGAGCAAGTGTTTTCCTTGAGTTTGGGGCCTATGTAGGTATTAACAGCGAGCAGTCATGGCGGAGCTTTTGTCCCATCGGCTCCCGTCGGCTCCTCGTCCTGATGTAATTGCCCCTGAGCACCTCCACTCCTGTGCCCTGCTACATGGCACTGCCCAATTGTTTCATCAGCTAAATCCCATGGGGAACAGCACAAGGAAATGGCTGCTATTTCTCTTAGTTTTCTATTTCATTGACAAAATAACTTGGCAGAAGATCTAGTCAAGAAATTGCACATCTCTGTGTGCATGTGTTCTCGGTGGTACTTAATGTAGAGAATCTGTATTTTTCCAAGATATATCAGAAGCTGGTAAATTTCTGTCCACCTAGCTGAACTAGAACATACAGTTCAGAAAGTCTGACCTTCCATTATCTGAAGAACCATCTTCTGACTATTTCCCACTCTTGATTTCCTTTCTCACTGGAATTTCAAGGTCTTCTTAAAATAGCATTTCTCAACTCTTGGCACTAGAAGCAGTTTTAACTATGCCTCTGAATAAGTAATTTAATTGAAAGAGGTGAACCCTTGGATTTCACAATGTGCAGCCATTTTGTCCCATTATGATACCGGATCTGTTTGTTCATATATGCCAAAGGAAGAGGTGGAGAACTTTGCCTTTCAGACACAAATCACACAGCCCACATACCTTTCAATCACACTTTCTGTTCAAACGAGGAAAATTTACCACAAGATTTGATCACTATCTCTTCAGAAGGGAATGTTCTGCTGTATTCTTAAAACTCTATAGAAGTGGGAGAAGTGATGTGTACTGTGACCCTTAATGGGAGTGGCTGAGGAACAATGCAGTCGTTGATCCCAAAAATCGGCCACAAGATTGAAAGGGAAGGGCCTGTTGGGCTAATACAATAATGTGTC